TGGTGGCGCTGACTGATACCATGCTTCACACCTCGACTCGTCTGTACTTTCAGGGGTACACTGTGTACCGAGAGGTGTGCGCACCAGGGTCATGTGAGGGCGTAGCCATCCTCGTCAGAAGAGATGTACCGTCGAGAGCTGTTCAGAACCCAGTGGATCCAACCGAGGGAACTCACTTAGTCACAGTTGACGTGAGACTTAAGAGTCGATTCACGTTCACCTGTGTCTATAGGAGACCTAGGGCCATACATACATCTGCAAAGTTACTGCTACAACACGCCCAGGCGACGAGTCGGCATATAGTCCTCGGGGACTTAAATGCTCGACACTCTTCCTGGCTGTGTGGTAGTGCCAACCGTCCGGCTTTGGACCAATGGGATAGAGAGACCTACCTATATAAACACGGACTACCTAACCGCTGGCAAATAAATCACTTCAGCAGCAGCAGCAGAAGAAGAAGGACCTCCTCAAGAACCCTCTCTCAACAGCAGCAGAAGCAGAAGGACCTCCTGATCTCTACCATTGCCTGCCAGCTACTCCACACTCTCGAACTTCTTACTAAGCTCAGCGCCTTAAGCTGTTGAGGGCCACACTTATCCCGTGGTACTCAACCTCGACAGCCAATCGGGCAGCGTAACGCTGGTAAGAAGGGCAGCGACGCTGCGACAAGCCGTTGTCCCCACCCAACTACACCGAGATGTCGACATCGGCGCCTCAAGCAGCAGATGACTCCATGGCAGTTGACGAAAACTGCGATGACCCCCGTATAGGGAAACGAACACTAGGGGCCGATGGGTTCGTCCCAGTGCCAAAACGCCTCCAATTTCCCCCTCGTGCAGCCCAAGAACCGGCGAAGATCCAGGTCGCCAACCGATTTTCCGCCCTGACGGAAACAATACCGCCGAAACCCATCCTACCGCCGCCAATCATAATTTCACCACCTATCGCACAGGCAGCACTTAGAAACATATTAAAACAGCGAGGAGTCACCAAATTCTCCGTGAATTCCTCCCCAAAAGAAACGAGACTATACCTGAATAATGAAAAAGATCATTATGCAGCGACCCTCATGCTGAGAGAAGACCAAGCTGTCCAATTCCACAGCTTCGCGCCACGTGGAACGAAGCGTTCAAGAAAATATGTCTTGTACGGGTTCGATATCGACTTCCCCGTACAATGCATTGACGAAGAGTTGAAAGATCGGTTACCGGGCTACAAGATGGCGAGAAGACTCACAGGGAACGGAACCCCCTCGGCCTACTGAGATGATCCAGATTATAACCGAGGAACATGTGAAAATTAACCAAATTCGGAACCTGAAAGACATAGCTCAAGTAAGGTTCAGGGTGTCCCTATTCAAGGAGGATGGTGCTCCGGTGCAGTGTCGTAACTGCCAAGAGTTCGGTCACACAATGAAATATTGTGGCCGGGCTTGTGCTTGCCAGTGGTGTGGGGAGACCCATGTCACTGAACAATGCCCCAAAAAGCAGCAGGAACCCTTCTGCAAAAACTGTAAAGGGGCCCACCCCACCTTCACCAAGGAATGCCCAAAAAGAATAGAGCTACTAAAACTGAAGAGGGAAGCAGCTACAGCTGAAGTAGCGAAGAAAGCCTTGCCCCCTAAGATGAGCAGGAAGGCCCAGCCGGACCTGCCATACTCCACTGCAAGTGGCGGAGCCCCGCCCCAATCAGAAGAGCCTACTCAACCCCACCAACAGCGCCATCCCCACCACCGGAACCATCCCCACCACCAGACTACCTCCATGGGTGCCGCAGAGGGACTTGCGCCAGTACCAGCCCAGCCTCCAAGGACTTCAGAAGCAACATTAGCCTCACTGGTAGAGAAGTTGTTGGACAGAATGGACACCATGCTCCATTTCATAACGACACTCCTGCAGACTGTGATGCCGAAGCCGACCCATGGTTGATCACCATGTGATCAACTATAACATCAGAGGCCTCGCTCAGAAACAGGCCGAAGTCGAGCTTCTCCTCCAGCAGCATAGGCCTACAGTGGTGGCGCTGACTGATACCATGCTTCACACCTCGACTCGTCTGTACTTTCAGGGGTACACTGTGTACCGAGAGGTGTGCGCACCAGGGTCATGTGAGGGCGTAGCCATCCTCGTCAGAAGAGATGTACCGTCGAGAGCTGTTCAGAACCCAGTGGATCCAACCGAGGGAACTCACTTAGTCACAGTTGACGTGAGACTTAAGAGTCGATTCACGTTCACCTGTGTCTATAGGAGACCTAGGGCCATACATACATCTGCAAAGTTACTGCTACAACACGCCCAGGCGACGAGTCGGCATATAGTCCTCGGGGACTTAAATGCTCGACACTCTTCCTGGCTGTGTGGTAGTGATAATCCACTGGGGAAGTACATCACCAAGACTAGGTTGGCCGTCTACCACCCAGGTGTACACACCTTCCGGCATTCAGCCCGACCTGATTGGACTTCAACGCTGGACCTGCTACTAACCAGGGATCTGCACACCATCACGGATTGCCAAGCGCTCCCGTATGGACCGTCTGATCACCGGCCTGTGCTCTACACAATCGAGGGCACACCCGCCACACCACCGGCGAGTAAATACTTACTCCATAAGGCCGACTGGAAAAGATACAGGTCCTGCGTTGAAGCCAGTTTGCCGGCTGTAACGCCGTGCCGGACAGCGGAAGAGGTTAACGAGGCGGTGGATGTCATCACCACCACTGTCCAGGATTCAGCCAACCAGAACATTCCTAAGTTTGCCCCGCAGCCCAACACAATAAGGAGACCGCCACGTCACATCCTAATCCTGATCAGCCAAAGGAACAATCTGAGAAACATCTTCCAGCGTACGCGTGACTACAGCTTGAAACCGGCCATCAATGCGATGACCCGGCAGATAGCTAGCCTCATGCGTGACTGGAAAACCTCACTCTGGCATGATCAACTCCGGAGGACTCATGATGACCATCGCCAGTTCTGGAGACTGATCAGGACATTCGTGAACAAGAAGAGAACTGTCCACCTTACATCGGGGAATGAGCTGCTCACAGCTAAGGAACAGGCTGAACTCCTGGCCAAAAACTACGAAGCGAGGGATGCTGAGAGGACTAGAAATGCACCACCAATACCGGAGGGACCGCTGCCCAGTCCTAACGATGAACCTGTCTTCGCAACCTTCAACCAGCTAGAGTCGGTACTACGGCGCACCAAAGGAAACAAATCGTCTGGACAGGATGAGATACCGTACGTTCTGTTGAAGATGCTCCCTAGGAAGGGTAAAGCCTTCCTACTGAACATCTTTAACTCATGCCTCCGAATCTCATACTTTCCCAAGGCATGGAAACAAGCGATCGTAGTACCGCTACTCAAGCCGGCGAAGAAAGGGGACTTAGCAGAGCACTATCGTCCGATCAGCCTCCTCTCGCACATCAGCAAGATTTTTGAGAGGCTAATTCATCACCACCTAATGAAACACTGCTGGAAGAATGAAGTCATACCACCAGAGCAGACTGGTTTTCAGAGAGGGGTCTCGTGTGAACATCATTTAGCGAAACTCCAGGCCCATACATTAGACGAGATGAGTCTCAACAGAGCTACGGCGCTAATCTCCTTAGACTGCAGCCAGGCCTTTGACTGCGTGTCCCACACGCATCTACTCCGCCGCCTGGAAGAGTTCAGGTTTCCTGCCACTCTATGCCGAATGATCCGAAGCTACCTCAGCGGAAGATCTCTCGTCGTACGAGTTGGCACAGACTGCTCAAACCCAGTCGATACCACCTGTGGAGTACCTCAAGGGTCTGTGCTAGGGCCAATACTGTTCGTCGTCTTCACGGCACCAGTAGTGGCACTCAAGCATACAGGAGCGATGGTAGCAGCGTACGCCGACGACATCGGCATCTACGCATCCAGCCTCAATGCGAAGACGGCGCTCACTCGGGCACAGAAAGCTTCAGCCACCATCATAGAAGAACTTGAAGCAATCGGTATCAGAGTGAACCCCGCGAAGACTGATGCCATAGTCATGTCGTTCCAGAAGGGAAAGAAGCCACTGCCCAACACCTTCACCGTCGGAGAAGTTGACCAGAAAATCTCCACTTCAATCGTCTACCTCGGCGTCACATTGGATAGGCATCTAACCTTTTCCAGTCACGTCAGGCAGAGGATCAAGCTGGCACGGCAAAAATCCCATCGCCTCTACCATCTACTGAATTCGCCGCAGCTCTCACTGAGACTAAAACTGCAAATCTATAAGGCCATTATAAGACCCACGATGCTTCACGGGGCCCCTCTCCTGCGCTACCTATACAACTCAACACTCAAGAGACTACAGGGCTTCCAGAGTTCTATCCTTCGACGAATTGTCCGGGGCACCACCCTGCAAAGGGCTAAGAATAAAAGTATACGAGAGGAGCTCCAGCTCCCCTCGGTACCTGAGTTCATAAGCCGGAGGCACATCAAATTCTTTGATGGGCTGAAGGCCTGTGCCAACCCTCTATTTAATGTCATTTCACCACCAACCAGACCAGGAAGGTGGCAGGGTAAACTCCCTTTGGTGGACATATTCGCCGAAGGATGTGGTCTGGACCCTTGAGTCCAGATCCAAATGTATATATTGTAAATATTTGTATTGTATATATTGTAAATAAATAAAATTAACCTGCTGAGCTGTCCCTCCCTGCTCAATATTAAAATTAAGGCCAATGGCCACAAGTGTATAAAGTGCCTTCAGCACACTTAGACAAATTACACCTCAAAATACCTTCGGGTAAAAAGAGGTAAGCATACTCTGAGAGTATATGTATACTTCTGTGTATACATATACAGATAAGTGTATGGTTTCCTTATGGAGGGTAAGAAAAAAAAAAAAAAAAAAAAAAAAAAAAAAAAAAAAAAAAAAAAAAAAAACCGCTGGCAAATCAGTCGAATATCTTTCTCTGACCGGCTAAGATGACTGGACGCGACAAGCGAGGAAAGTGTTTTGGCAAAGGAGGAGCCAAGAGGCATATGAAAGTACTCCGTGACAACATCCAAGGTATCACTAAACCCGACATCAGAAGACTGGCAAGGCGAGGAGGTGTAAAGCGTATTTCGGGTCTCATCTACGAGGAGACCAGAGGCGTGCTGAAGGTTTTCTTGGAAACCGTCATCCGTGACGCAGTCATCTACACCGAACAAGCTAAGAGGAGGACCGTTACCGCCATGGACGTCGTCTACGCTCTCAAGATGCAGAATCGTATTCTGTACGGTTTCGGCGATTAAGTTCGACGTCAACGTGTGTATCTGGTGACAGGGGCAAAGTTTTACCGGCCCTTTTCAGGGCCACCAA